CACCACCATCACCTCTAAATGTACAACTCTGAATCTGAATTAAAATACTTACTAAAAGTCTGCAGGCTGAGAATGTGGAGGCTAGTCATTTGAAATGTGGAAGCTGGAAGTGTGGAGGCTGGGGGCTGGTCTGTGGGCAGCTGAGGCTGGGAGTCTGGAAGAGTAGAAGCTGGTCCCTGGGAGTCTGCAAGTCTGGAGGGAAGTTGTTGTTTCCTGGGAAGCTGGACGTATGGAGGCTGGTCACTTGAAATGTGGAAGTTGGGAGACTGCAAGTGTGGAGGCTGGTTGCTGAAAGTCTGGAGGTTGATTGTTGGGAGCCTGGAGGCGGGAGGGTGGAGGCTGGTCACAGGTCGGGTGGAGGCTATTCACTAACAGGCTGGAAGTATGGAGGCTGGTCACTTGATTTCTACACCGCCATCACCTCCAAATGTGCAATAGATCTGAATTAACATACTTACTACAAGTCTGCAGGCTGGGAGTTTGGAGGCTGGTCACTTGAAATGTGGAAGCTGGGAGTGTGGAGGCTGGTCACTCAACGTTTGGTGGCTGGTCGCTGGAAGTATGGAGGCTGGTTGGTGCGAGTGTGGAGGCTAGAGGCTATGGGCTGGTCTGTGGGCAGCTAAAGGCTGGGAGTCTGGAAGAGTAGAAGCTGGTCCCTGGGAGTCTGGAGGCTGGAAGTCTGGAGGAAAGTTGTTGTTTACTAGGAAGCTGGACGATGGAGGCTGGTCACTTGATTTCTACACCGCCATCACCTCCTCATGTACAATAGATCTGAATTAACATACTTACTACAAGTCTGCAGGCTGGGAGTTTGGAGGCTGGTCACTTGAAATGTGGAAGCTGGGAGACTGCATGTGTGGAGGCTGATTGGTGGGAGTGTGGAGGCTGGTCTGTGGGCAGCTGAGGCTGGGAGTCTGGAAGAGTAGAAGCTGGTCCCTGGGAGGCAGAAAGTCCGGAGGGAAGTTGCTGTTTACTAGAAGGCTGGTCACTTGAAATGTGGAAGCTGGGAGATTGCAAGTGTGGAGTCTGGATGATGGAAGTCTGGGAGGCTGAAAGGCTGGACCCTGGAAGTTGGGAACCTAGAGGCTGGTTGCTGGAAGTGTGGATGCTGTCCGTTTTTTCTACATCATTAATTTCTATGTTGCTCTGTGTGCTCTTGAAGTATTTTCTTGTTGTGTCTCTGTGACGATCTGTGTGATTTTAAAATCTCACATTTCTTATTTTTCCAGCTGCCCATCGCACGAGGCTGACATAAAAAAAAAACCCCGAACACACCGAGGAAACAAACCTTCAGCTGATCCAGACCATCATGAAAAGCACCAAAACTGGAAACAGGGAAAAAATTATATTTAAGCAAAATGCCAAAATACTGTAAGTTTAACAATCAGGCAGCTTTGAAGCTGATAGAAACCAGTTTCACATGAATTTACCAACATGATAAAAGACATTTTCTCCACCGAACACATCAGTGCCTTCACTGAGTCCTACCAGCTTAACTGTCGTGAATCATCACTTTTGTTGTTTTTCGTATTTCATTCATTCGTCAGACTGCAGCGAAGCTCATTATCTCATCGTGTTTGTTTTTCTACTGTAAATGTCTCCACGTTCAGGTTTCTTCCACCATGAATCCAAACCTCTGTATGAGTATTTATTTATTTGGTTGTTTTATACTGTCGTGTATTTCTTGTTGTATATATCTTACTCATTGTATAATCGATAGTATTTCTTATTAAAGCATTGTTTATTAGTTGTTTTGTAAGAAAATAAAGGTCCTTAAGAGGTACGGTGTCTCTCACATTTCTTATAAATTAACTTATACTCATTTATTGAATCGGACTGTTACAGTAAAGGTTTGCAGTCACACTTAAAATCTGCATTCTTTGATGGTGACGGACTTTTTCCAATAAAATTAAAATAGAATTTATTTGGGATGACAAATTCAACTCCTGAGATGTCAGAGCTGATGGTTAAGTTATTAAAAACGAGTAAGAAAAAGTCAGTAAATTAGCTTTAGCTGAGGCTCATGCTGCTGTGGTTCAGTTCTTAACACCTGTAACTTCAAATAAAACATTTCTGTAATAAATAAATCATACAAGTGGTTGAAGGTGAACCTAAATATTTAAATATGTCAGGACCTTCCTTTTTTTGTTAAATCAGGTTAAATACCACAGCACAGAAATATAGCAGAAAAAATGAGCTAAAAAATGTTATTGTTTTACAGATATTTGCTGTTATTTGAAAGTAAAAATATTATATTAAAGGATTGAAACACAATTATAGCAATTAATAACAATCTGAAAACAATTCTACCTAATCTAAATAGTTAAAAATGAACATTTTAAGTGTATTTTTTTAAAATAAGGTAATCTTGTTTTCTTGATTTTCCCATATTTGCTACATTAGAGGCGATTTTTATTAAAATCACAGAACAAAGTGTTATTTTACATGTTGACTGTTAAAAAATAATAATAATAATTTGTTCTTTCTAAACGTGTGACCATAAAATTCACCTGTTATACATCTGTTACAGTATTCCTCCATTTTTAGTGCGTTTTTTCTGGCACTCCTGCTGCCAGATTTTCACAGTTTAGTTTTTTTTTTTTCTGTTACAGTCGAACAGGTCAGTTAACAGCAGCGTGTGGTCTCATTCACCTCTCATACCTCTGTGTAAGAAAAAGATGTTTGGAAACATGCATCCACCTCTGCACCTCGTCCTGTTAACAGCTCAGGACCTCCAACATGGCCGCCGGAGGACACGATGCACCTGAAAGGACAAACTGAGGAACAGCTGACGAGGCAACGATTATTACGATCTTCTCTAGAATGTGTATTTCCTTCATAAATGTGATGTTTGAGGTGTTTACAGAACCTGCAGACGTTTTTGTTTTGTTATCTTTGGCTCTGGCTGGCGTTCTGCAGCAGCAGCAGCAATGAGGCATTTGACTTTGCTGCAGGGGCCAGACAAGTTCACAGCCGGCGGGTCGAGGCCTCGGGGGCCGCGAGGAAACCAGGATTAAAGGATTAATGAGGCCACGTTAGCTCCGCACCAATTAGGATTCCACTCTGGCAGCGAACTCCTTCCTTCACCCGGCCGAACGCTGAGGAGCTGCAAGAGCCAACAGTTTGTGTTTGTCACATGCTCACACAGTTTGTGCAGCGAAAAGTGACTGTTCTCGAGGCTGTGCAACAACAATAAGACATTATAAGTACATTTAACAGTGCAAATACACTTTTTACAATATTGGTGAAGTGTTATTTTACCTAAAATGTTAAGAGTTTAGGTAACTTTGATCTAATTAAACAGAACATCCAGGAACAGCCGCAACCAAGTAACTTTAAAATGACTCCTCTTGTAGGATCTGTTTAATCATCTGTTTTGTCTGAAATGTCTCGCATTGACTTTGGAAGATGCACATATTTGCACAACATTCTTAAAAAAACGATGAAAAATATGTAATAAATAACAGGAGGTTGGGATGTTGAAGCTAAAGTGCAGTCCACACCTTTATGTTATTTACATATTTGCACGATCAGCTGACAGATGAAAGCTGAAATAATTTGTTAGATTGGTCCTAAACTGTATTTTCTTTTAACTTAAAGTGACTTCTTCTGCTGAACATGTTGCTGTAAACCTTCTTGCAGCAGGAAAATGAGCTTTAGACTCCAGAAATCTCCATCAGTTGCCGAGCTGATGGGAAAAACTAGAAACCATCGCTTGGGTTTAGCTGCCCTCTAGTGGCGACAATAACAATAATAATGTCAAGAAAAATGCAGAAAGACTCTCAAACTAAAGGGATGAAACGTAAATGGAATTGAATGGATTTGCAACAAGCTTTATGTCGTCTTTCTGTTGTGATCTGACTGAACCTGGCGGCGGCGACTGTTGCAGCAGCAACACTCACACAAGCCATCGTCCGCTGACAGATATTTATATCCACCCCCAAAGATGGCACTGGGCAAGGTGGAGGAGGAGGAGGAGGAGGAGGAGGAGGGAGTGCTCGTGTCCATCATGGTGGGCACAGACGGGTACACCTGCACTGTTCACTCAGTGGAGCCTCGGAGCCGGCGGCCAAAGCAGCAAAGCTATCCTCCGTCCTGGATGCCAGCAGGCGCAAACACACAGAAACACAACAGTCAGACGCTGGACGGAGCATCAGGTTCATCCACACAGTCGGAGGAGGAAGTTCAACCTCAATAATTTCCCTCCGACAGCACATGATTATAGAACAAACAGGCATTAGAGAACAGAAATCGGTGCAATCAAGAGCAAATGTATAGAAGCAGCGAGTCCATTTATCAAACAGGTAAAAGTGAAGATGCACAATTTTCTTTACAAGATTTTTTTTAACTGTAACTCAAGAGGTATGTGCAATTAAAATGTATAAAAATGCAAAGTCTGAAATAAGAAAAAGATGTAAATAAAAGAACAAAATGCAAAAACAGGAAGAGTTGAGCTCCAGTTCAATAAAGTACAACAAAAGCAGAAGAAAAGAAGACGCATTTAAAACAATTATGCAAAATATATGGACGTTAATTTAAAAATAAGTCCATAATGAGACTTGAGGATTAAATTAAATGAGCTAATTGATGAAGATGTGACTTCTCTTTTATTGCTGCTGAAAAGTGTTAAAAACTCTAATTGAAGCCTCAATAAAAGCATCACAGCTGGATTTGCTTCTCTGACAAATAAAAATGGCTAAAAATCTGCAGCATTTTAGCTCAAAACCAACTCCTGAGCACATTTATGTCGACACAAGAGCAGATAAAACGTCGATTTTATTGTAATTTTGCTCTCTGTGGACTAAAATCTACGACCAAATTCAAGTTAATAACGTGTAAAACCTGCTGCCTGAATTCTGGATAAAATCAGGGCCTTAAATTACAACAATTCCTGTTTTCAGATGGTGAAAATGAATTAAAAACAAGACCAGAGCTAGAAAGAGACAGTCTGATTTCTGTGTATTGTTTTTAATTAAAGCATTTTTACTGCAAGCAAAAAAACAAAGGTTTAGGTTGAACAAAAACAACGAACGCAGCAGTTTGCATCCATTGTTTTGAGCTATGACAACTTTTAATGAAATTGTGTTTAAAAAATGAACTCTGCTGAGGAAGAGGAATTAGTTTTTTCTCTGCAATTAATTCATAATTCGGCAGCATGAACAGTTTTTAAAGGCTTAAACTCCTGAACTCAAGCTGAAGAAACATGTGATTATCAAGCCAATTTAACTGATTTACTACAACTTGAATTTTGCTTTAAATTAACGCACAAATTTGAGTTTAAATTAGACACAATATCAAGTTGGTGCACTTACCAACAATATAACATCAACACAACTCATCAGAAACAATATTTACAACCCAAAAGTTTGATCTAAATCAGGAAATTAGATTTTAATTAAGTGTGAAGGAGCGAATGATGCTAAAATTATTCCAGCAGGTTCGTGTGTGTTCCAGTGATTTCTACAAAACTCACACAAAACAACGTTTTTACAAATTTAAATTGTTGGACCAACTTAAATGAACTGCTTCAGCTGGTAAAACAAGTTTATCCATAAAAACTTAACAAGTAATAATAACAATAATAATAATAATAATAATAATAATAATAATAATAATAACAATAATAATAACAATAAGGCCATGAGTTCACGTCTAATGTACTTAAATCATTCGATTCCTCTCAAATGAACAACTTAATTTTTAGGAAAGTCAACTTAAAGATGCCAATTTCTGCATCTTTGCTTTACTCAAATATAAAATGTAAAAGGTGATTATATCGTCACAGTCCTACTTTCTGTCTTTTCTTTAATCTGTAATTCTGTGTAAAGAAAGCAGCAGCTGAGGTGCAGCAGAAAACTAAAGTAATTTTGTACTTTTACCAAATTCATAATATCAGTTTAAAGAGTTTAAAGTGTGAGCTCAAGGTGACAGAATCCAGAAAAGCAAACTGTCTTCAGCAAAGCAGAAAGATGTTTTTCAGAAAAAAGCAGCTCAATCACACTTTGCTGTTTCACATTAAATTCCACATTTTTCTTTTTCTTTGAGGGGCAGCTTCACGGTCTAATTCAACAGTCTTTGGCCTTTAAAACTCTTGATTTTCACATCCAGGACAACCAACAATCACGTCTGAAAACTTGAAAATTGCACATTTGGAGGATTTTTCTCGTTTTCTTCTCTTTTTTTCTTCTACTTCCTGATCACCTGTTTTGTACAAAGTGTCCGGTATTGGCCTTGGAGGACGCCCCGTATCGGTCGAGCCTAATTTAAACCTGCATCCTTCAGACCACAACAGGTGCCTCCTCCTCCCCTCCATTACGCTCCACCTGTCTTCCCTTCTCCGCGGCGGGCTGGCGACCCAGAAAGCAGCCGTCATTCATTAGAAATGGTATGCTGATCCGCCGGGGGGCAGGACGGCGCAAACCCCCTCGGTCACCGGATCGGCGGCAGCTGCTTGGCCCCCCGGTGCTATTTTCACCTCCAGGATAAAGTGCGGTGCAGCCGTCGGTCTGCACGGCCGCAGCAGCTGCAGTCAGAGCAGAGCAGCGGCAGGATGAAGTCCACAGGCAGCGACCGCAGCGCGCAGCACGACGGCTTCGCCTCCGACCTGGACGACCTGGACAGCGGCAGCGACAGCTCCGACGGAAAGTCCACCGGCGGCTGCAGCCCGCGCAGAGAGCCGGGCCAGGAGGTCGGTGAGGACACGGCGGGATCTCGTACCGGTGCGTCGAGACGGAGGAGAAGGAGGCGAAGGAACAGCAGCGGAGGTGGAAGAGGCGGCGGAGACGCGCGTCTGTCCGGGGTGAGCAAGCAAAGGCAGGCGGCCAACGCGCGGGAACGAGACAGGACGCACAGCGTGAACTCGGCCTTCACGGCGCTGCGCACTCTCATTCCCACGGAGCCGGCCGACAGAAAGCTCTCCAAGATAGAGACGCTGCGCCTGGCCTCCAGCTACATCTCCCACCTGGCCAACGTGCTGCTGCTGGGGGAGGACTGCCGGGACGGGCAGCCCTGCCTCCGCTACCAGAGCATCCTGCACGGCCCCGCTGCGCTCAGCGCGCCCTCTCTGCGGCCCATCTGCACTTTCTGCCTCAGCAACCAGAGGAAACTGGTGAGTAGCTTTAACACCTGTTCGCTAAACTATCGCCTGCACGACTGCTCGTAGCTCACTTTTACGCACAACATTTGCTCCAAAGTCACCACAGCCTTTTACGCACAACTGGTACCTGATGCAAAGACGCTGCAGCCTTTTACGCACAATTAGTTTTTGTGCCAAATTCACCAAAGGCTTTTACGCACAGCTGGTATCCGCTGCAAAGCCTCCGTGGCCTTTTACGCGCAGCCAGTTTGTGCTCCAAAGTCACGGCAGCCGCTCTGAGGCCTCTGAAAGTGGAGCGGATGATGCACCTGTGCAGGCTGCATCCTCTTTATGTTGAAAATAGATCTGCAGGTGCTGAGTGTGCGAGGTTCAGCGATGATTGGGTTTGACCGAAGCGGCACCTGTTTCTGCAGTGACTGACAACACTCAGTGAAAACAAGCTGTGGTGCTTTCAAGAGTCTAAAATAAGTCTTTGCCTCAGTACAGTTAAAATTAAAGATAAATTATTGCTTTTTCTTTTATGCATACAAACAGACAGACCTTGGCATTTATAGTTTGACTGTTTAAGATGAAGATTTGGTTTTAAAATTGACAGAAACTCAAACGTAAAAGCACATGGAAATGGAAAAAAAGCTTCTTTTCTTTCAAATTAAAAATGTAAATGAATAATTCTTACTTGTGATACTGCAGCTTACATGTGCAGGAGCCGATCAGAAGTGTTTACAGTCTGGGACGGTGTCTGGCCGGAGTCCTAGCAGCTATACACGGACACGAGAAACTGGCACAGCATCAAAAATATTATGTCACAATTGCATTTAAATCAAAAACCGTGTTTTACTTTGACAGCAGGCGTCAGGATTTTGGTGCGTCTGCAAAACAGAAAACAAAACTCACTTCTTCATTTGATTCAAGGGATTTTCTTCATCTTAATAAAACACGTTCAGGTTACTAAAGGTTATTAAAGGACATTAAATGAAGTGGTTACTGTAAGTGACAGCATGATGATCTGTGATTTGGAGACTGAGTGTAACACTGACTCCATAAAGTTGATATTTCTGCAGATTTAAACTGATTAAAGTTCCTGTTATCTGGTTAACTGCTGCTGATTTACTGTTGGGTGCTTTTCTTTGCCTCCACAGCTCAGAGACGGCGGGAAGCACTCGGCTGCTGTGTGAAAGCGAGCAGCTCCGGACTGACGAGGATGTTTTTGTTTACATGTAGGACTTTGTACATATATAAATATATTTATTTTTGGATTAGACAACAAAAGACAGATTTGACACTGAAAAGCACTTTGTGAACCTCTGTGTTTTGGTTGAGCTGTAACCTGAGCCGATGTGTAAAGTTGCACCTGACGTGGGGCTATTTTGGGTCCCGCCGATAGTACAAACTACCCCACCAACCGAGTCCTAAAAAAAAAAAAAAACAGAAAGCGTGTCGCCTTCAGTCACATGAAGGAAACTGAAGAGCAGCTACAGCAGTGCTGTCAGGAAAATCACAAATCACGCAGGGGCGCTTTGAAGGGGCATTAATGCGTCGCCTCTGGTGGTGACCGACTGGAACTGCAACAACACTCACAGAACCGATCATTTCTCAGGAATCTGAAAGTCAAAGTTAATATTTTACACCACACCCTGCCACTAGGGGGCGCACCACTGCTCCAATGTGTTTATTATATGCTACATTAAAGTCTAACTTTAGAGATTTCCTGCTTTTCTTACCGTCAGCAAATCCCTCGAGCGAACGCGTCGACCCGTTGGGTGCTCGCCTGCATGAGCCAAATCCAGAAAATAGAAAAAAACAGATTCAATATTAAAAGTTGATCATCGAACAAGCAAAAACAAAGAATGTGGACACCGAACAGTGGCAGCGTCTGTTGTGTTTCATGCAAAGACGCATTTTTAATCAAAATTACACCAGTGGGACAGTTTTAAAGCCCTAAAAAATATTAATATTATTATATCTGTGGGCAATTTAAATGGGGTTAAATGCGTATAATTGACGGATATTCCTTTTGAGATGATGTGCATGCATGAAAAGGCAAAAATCAGCAAAGACTTGATCCAAACATCATCGAAAAGCTCCAAAGAAAAACCCCAGCAAGCTAATTCTCATCTTTCCTCATCCCCATGGGTTAACTTGTTTTCTTTAAAACCTTATCAGAACTTGTAGGTAATGTTTGAATATATCCTGCTAGATGGGGAGACAATGCTTACACGTCATTGTTGGTTTTGGGATTTGTTGCCTGCAAGAAAATTCAGGAAGTTAGTGCCGACAGAAAGCGAGATGGCTCTTAGATGCAATGTGACGGTGCAGAAATGCAATTACAAGACGTACGAGTGGATAAACTGATAAAATCTAAAAGAAGAGACCTGATTTGATACGATCAGAGCTTGAATTAGTAGCGAGCTTAAAGCTAACACCTGCATGGTTGGTGTATTTGGATATTTAGGGAAAATCAAGAAGAACTGCACAAAAAAAGTTTGGCAGAAATGAAGCAAATCTCTAAATGTCCACTGTCAAGACTAGGTGTAAAAACACACGAGGACATGGAGGACAAATTTGGGTATTTTCATCGTGCTTTGCGAGCTGTCGGGGATTTCAGATGAATTTGGGAAGATTTCTTGTAGTTTTAAAAATGGAGCACTTCTTTGCACACATATACCGTCAATACGACTTCCTGTTTAGTCTCATTAGTTTATTGGTCACCAATCACATCCTGCAAAGTTTTTCCATTTCATGTCAGTTTTCTGTCGCTACTAGAAAACACACTGACAAGCAGGTTCTCTATTTGGTTCGACTGGACTGTATCTGCATAAATCTGGACCTGATATTTATTCTTTTAGTCCGTTTCATCTGGGAACTGAAACAAGTTTGAGGCTCGGCTGAAGCAGAAATAAGGGATGTGTTCCTGCCTCTCTGCCAAAACTTCTCACTTCAACTGTTCTGATGCATATATTTGCAGTGTGGTGAACTGTTTACTTTTGCATTGTTGCACAACCTCTTTCTTTTAAAAACACAGAACCGCGACGTTTTGTGAGCACGCGAATGCGGGACGCCGCGGCATGCACTAAATTTGGAGAACGTGTAGATGTAGTCCTTCTACAATCACCTGGATCCCTTGATAACTATCAGTGGGAAATGTTGCACACTACCTCAGACCTGTTCTAAATATGAAGGCCTACCTCTAAATCAAAGAGCCACGTGACTGAAAACGTACTTGAATCAACTGTGTCCTTTGCACATCAACAAGTACCGAGAAGCTGCTTGAAGAGAAAAATGTATTTTTGTACAATAAAAATAAAAACACGGACTTTCAGGTGTCTCCTTTGTGTAATTTACATCAAGAATTATGTTCAGTAAATACACCGCTTTAACAGAGCGACTCTTCAAATACACGTGCTAGAAATGTGTCTAAAGTCTTCATTTCTATGATTTCATGAGGTGCTAAAAATGCCAAAGATGTGACATGAAATTTGGCCAGAAGGGCCTTGGTCTTAACCCTTAGTTATAAAGTATGTTCCAGAAAGAGACGAGATGAGATGAAAAAGAAATGTGGATAGGCCTAAAAAGAGAAAATGGCAACAAAAACTATTAAAGTGAGACCAAAATGTGACCTGAGAGAGACACAGAATGGCTGGAAAGAGATGCAAAATGAGCAGAAGTAAATGCAAGCAACAAGAAAGAGCTGCAAAAGGGACGACAAACAACCATTAAGAGATTCAAAATGCTCCCAATGACCAACAGGTTACAAAAAATGGCCACAAAGAGAGAGAAAATGTGACAAAACATGACTTCGAAGAACTCAGAACTGCTACAAAGACGTCTAAATTGGCT